TGTTGACATAAATATGTTGCATGTCTATATAATATGTTGCATGTTAGTATAATTTATCTTGCATGTAAGGGGCAGAAATATGCCACCATACTGGTTGAACTGCGTCGATCGTTTGTGGTGATTGGACTAGTCCATTAAAATATGGAATAAACCAACAGAGGGGAAACAAATAAGAGAAATCATTTCTTTTGTTTTGCATGTCCATATTCTGATACATACGATTCATATGTTGTTTTAAGGAATAAGATAAAATTTGTAGACAGAATTTCTGAATCATAAGAAGATGGAGGTTACAATAACAATTATTCCATGGAAGTTAGCGCCCCCATTCATACAATAGAACAATCCAAGAAAAGGCGCGAAGATCGCTTACTCGTAACATTTGGCGCGAAAAGAGCGATTCACCCCTTTCGTAGAATGTAAATGGACTGATCCAGTAGTACAGAAATGCAGAAAAAAAGATACACGGACACGTTGAAACGGTTAATCACATGGATTAATCTGTTTCATGCAAACAGAGTAAACAAAGTAAATACTGCATTATTTTGCATCATTGTTTCCCTGAAAAATGTTTCTTTTAAAATGCAGGTAAAAGATTTCCAATGTAAATCAGCTTGCACAAAATCTAGCTCTCTGGGTATGATCTATTAGTTTCGGATCAAGCAATTATCAATCCTTATACAGCCTGACGCCGTGACGTCAGGCAATAAAAAGAATACCCCATGATATTTAGCTGGGTATGATTTACCACACTCGTTGTGTTGTTTTATACCATCACCAAGGCTCGAGGATAAAAAAATGACAACTCTCTGGATAAAAATCATACCTAACTACAAGTCATGGAATATCCTATATACTATTATATCAATATGTTCATCCTTTCTATTACTACTTATTTTCTAGGGTTAAATGTGTTATTGTCATTATTTTAATTTAAGCATACGAGGGTTGTTAGAAAAGTTCGCGGAAAAGTTCTATTGTGAGTGCGCTATTTTCATGAAACCGGTTTAACTCTCCAGATAAAAACTTCACCCTTTTTCCAACAAATATACAAAGATTTGATGTTTTCCGGTGATAATTAATATTATTATACTTTCATGTTAAATACTAAGATCTGATTGGTTAAGACGCAGTCAACAATCCGTTCGATTACCCTGAGCCTTAGCAACGTACTTGACAACGGGTAACACAATGGTAATGTCACATGCGTTGAAATTATGCGCGTACGGTTCACCGTAGAATTCTCAAAACATCAGTTGCGCGTTTGAAAGAACCGGAGTTAACTTGACGTCAATGAAAGCTTGCGTCCGATATAGCTTACTTGAAAACAACAAACGACAGACGATACATGCTTACGAGTGTAGGAAACATGCTTGCGAGCCAGAAATAACGAAACTTTATATGATAAATGACTCTAATTCGAGTATCAAACAAACAATAAGGAGATTATTGAACCGGTGAGTGTGAAAGCTTTCTATACATGAACGAAAAGACGATCGACGGTTTTTTTTGTTTTTGTTTTTTGTTTTTGCTGACGTCCTAAATCAATAAGACATTCAGTATAATAAAATAAATGGTGCCTGTTTTGGAGGGTAACATTTGAAATTGACACCCCTCGGAAAACCATTGTCAACCTCCGCTGATGCGTCGGTTGACTGGTTTTCCTTGGGGTGTCAATTTCAAATGTTACCCTCCAAAACAGGCACCATTTATATAATATACAGCTATATTATTTTGATAAAACATGCTTCAAGGAGCATGCTACTTTTTCAAACTTTTATATTTCATGGACTTTATTAATGAAATTAAAAAATGTACAGTTGTAGTGCAAGAAGAATTAAGAAATTTTACCTGTCGCTGCAGTATTCATGAAACGTCACTTGGTGAAATTTTGAATTGAATTGGAGGGTATATGAATGTTTTATAGCCATTTAATCAACATGTAAAATGAAAGCCAAGAATGGGAACCTCATTGAACATCATGGAGCACCGAGCTACTAAAATTCATGTGTAGACAGAAAAATGTCAAAAAATAAACCAAAATGCTTCTAGATTTAGAAATTGTCTACACGTAAAAAAGACAAAAATATTCAACTGGTAATTTTTCATTATCAACTTTCATGTGATACTTCAGTAACCGCACTTATCGCATGGAAGTTGCGTCTCAGGATTACATGTATATGCAGTGTTTCTAAACCTGATCATGAATTCATGATCGCTTAAGGACAGATGATACAAACAAATTTTTTCTTTGAAAAAGATTTATTATCATGTCATAAGTTTAGGAAAGTGGATGGTTCTTAGAATTTTTTCTCCGACGAATTGGAATATGAAAAAGACTTGGAAAATATTGGTAATATTTCAATGAAAAAAACAAATATAGACAAATCACATTCAGTAAAGGTTTACAGGTGAAAACAAATTTCAGAATATGTTAACATGGTGCTAAAAGTGAATTATAAACTTAAGAAAAATATACCAATCCAGGTGAATTTTATTAGGAAAAGCTAAATGGTAAAAATCAGCCTATGTGATATTGCTAATTTTTTGTAATTTTGATCTTCCTCTTAAAATTCACCTGGCTTGGTATATTTTTCTAAAGTTTATATTACACTTTTAGCGCAAAGATAACATATTCTGAAATTTGTTTTCACTTGTAAACCTTTACTGAATGTGATTTGTCTATATTTGTTTTTTTATTGAAATATTACTAATATTTTCCAAGTCTATTTCATTGTTCAGTTCTTCGGAGAAAAAATTCTAAGAATCATCCTTTTTTCTAAACTTTTGACATGATATTAAATCTTTTTCAAGGAAAAAAATTGTTTGTATCATCTGTCCTTAACTGCGTAGACGTCCATTTTATGATCTCGCTAATATCCGAACAACACCTAGGACATTATAAAAGAAAAGTAACATGTCTCAATATTGATATTTGATTTTTAAGGAGAAAAAATACAAGAAAGGTCAAAGAAACGTGTTTAAAATCTTGTTGTCACGTCACTAACGTCAAGTGATTGCTCCGTGAATCCTATGTAAAATCCTTGTAAATTTTCAAAGTTTAAGTAAATGTACCTGATTTTTTACATACAAATAAACAAAAGATAGGAATTTAATTAGACATAGGTCACACTTCACAGTACACAATAGATTTTCCGTCGATCAATGTGTCCACGACTTTTCTAACAACCATCGTAGACTGGTTCTGCATTCAGAAAATAAGAACTTTACTACAGCAAATCAACAGCATTAAGAAGAGTCATTTGATTCATTAAATATGAACGTCTTTTTAGGGTTTCAAGAGTATTTTTAATCCTGGTGCATTGACTGGTTTACTCTATTTTTCTGTTTATGAAACGTATGGAGATAACGAACAGTATTCAAGATCAAAAGTCCATAAAACAATACAAAATAGGAAAAGAGCAAACACAGAGCCCAAAGACATCGGAGGTGGGATGGGGAGCCATGGAGGAGTGAGCATCCCCTGCCGACCGGTCACACCCAGCGTGAGCTCCTTGTCATGATCTGGAAATTACAAGGAAATCCGTCATTAATTCAGTGTACTACAGTGTAGTATAAATAATGGACTACATTGTAACAATTAGTATGAAAAACGTATGTCAGCATTTGACTCAATAATAAATTGTATTTGCTGAGAATGTCACTGCATCGACCATAGAACTTACGAAATAATGATTTTAAACGAAACTGCTGAAATTCTTGTTTCACCACTTTGTTTGTCGATTATTTACCTCGTTTGAGAAATTGTTCATACGCAGAGCATGCTCTCGCGTATTGAATGAACTGAGATACAACAATACGTTGACTATAGAAAAACTTAACGTCATCATTTTTATTATGGAGTTTGGTTGTTTGATTACCATTAACATTTTTTTCAAGTGAAATATGCAATATGAGACAGACTCTGTAGTATTTCTATTTCAAGCTCACCAGGATATAAATATCGTATCGACATAAGAATGAAAATTACCATTGTTAATAAACAATACCACACCTCCCAACCTTATTAATATTCAGGGTCATGAACCCAAGGGATCATTCATTGCATCAGATATTTTCTTTAAACAAGGAAAGACAACTCAAGATTTCCTTTAATGGTATAGTCAGTTTCTTTTATCAATTTATATACATTTAAATTGTGGTAAAATGGGGGGGGGGGGGTAGAAAAAAAGATATTGTGAGGTATGTCTTATATTTCCTTAAGATCACTTCTGGTCAATTTTTATGTTGAATAAGTATAACATTAACACAGTGTATTTTCAGTATGAAATACTACATAGGTATATGAATGTGTTTACTAAATTTCTGTTTAATAAATAGAGGTAAATTGAGTTTCAAGTATATCGATTTCACATAAGCTACATATCTGCAGCTACTAGTACATGTAAATAGTTCTGGAAGGTATCTATCTACATAATCATATTCAGTTATAAATGTTTTCTGTTCACTGAATTCAACAAAAATAATTTAAACTGATAAGCACACCATCTATATATCATGACTCATATTGAAAAAAGACAAAGTAAAGAAACAGCGTGCAATCATGTTTTTATTTACAAGAAATTTACTAAGCACTACATGTAGACAGACAGAATGTTCAACAGCAAATAAGTTGTATATTACAGGCATATGTTATAATAAAGATTATGCTGTTTAAAAATGAAGTAAAAATTAATAAATCAATATTTAGTTACCCTTCACAAGATCTCCAAATGTTGACTATTATTAATAAACAAAATTAAGTGCACATGTACATTCTAATTTTTTTTTCCTACTCAAAAAAATTAAAGTTCCATTTTTGAAAGATAATCAACCTTATAATAAAATTCAGAGTAAAAATATTCAACTGTTTCTTTCTTTACTAATCTGGTTTAAAATACAAGTGTAATTACAATATGTAATTCATATATATAGTTTAAGCATGCAATACCAGTGAGAGCTACATGTAGCTATTACCTACCTTCATTGCTCAATTAGCCATGTATGCCAGGTAAAGGACAAAATTTGAAGCTCTCCACCGTTCGTAATTTTGATGATAGGTAGACTTGTAAATAAAGATGAATAGAATGAGATAAAAATAACTTATCTTTTTACTTCAAAAGGCTAGAGAGGAAGAAGGAAGGGAGATGTTTAAAAATGATGTTTGTTCTGGTGCCCATTGAAAGCAATCTGAGAAAACATATTTGGGGTTTCCTAGGCAATACTTTACACATAGAAATATTCAAATTTTTCATAAAATGCATATGTGATTGATTGACTGACAAATGTATGTTGTTTAGAATGGCCCTCTCGAGAATTTTTCACTCATTTGGAGACACCACCACTTGCCGGCGGAGGGCTACAAATTTTGGGTGAGGGCCCGACCTTTCAGCAGGGAGGAATCTTTTTTGTGCCAGCACCTACAGCGACATGGGGCCTCGGTTTATACGGTCTCATCCAAGGACCAGTCTCCACGTCCAACAGTGGGATTCGAATTAGCGACATAAGGATTGACTCCTTACTCCCCGTCTCCAGAGCAGATGCTCTAATCACTGCGCCACATGGGCGACAACTGCATATGTTAAGTTTCATACCTGATATACACAAGTATGTGAGAACTGCATTGACATCATCTGATCATAAATTCTATGACATTAAATTAGAAAAGTAACAACTATATTTTGATCAGAAGGCTCTAGTGAAAACTTCATGATTAATATAAACAGCTGACACTATGAAAACTGCAAACAAATGTAAACAAACCTTTAATCCTTTATCCAGGTACACATGTATATGTGTAGAGGAAATTCGGAAGAACTTCTTGAGCATACACATGAGTACGGATAGAATTAAATTTTAGTCTCTTGGTATTTGAAAAAAACACATATGGTTCTCACAAATCACTGGGTATTGATAAGTAAGAATAATGACTTTTATATGCGTATGCATGCATAGTAGACTACCTTACAACAGATACAAGTAGGAACGAACTATAGCACACCTGCATTTTCTCTTCAATTTTAGACATGCTATTAACAGCATTTGACTGTTGACAACCATGCCCTAAAATATTTAACCATTTTGTGCTAGAGGTAATCGAAAAAATATATGAAATTCTACTTACGAGTGTTTTTGTTCACTAAATCAATGTATGTGGGTTAATCTTAACCATCACAACTACTCCCTTCCACGTGGAAACATGTTTACAAAATCGAGAGGTGCTGTTTTGACACTTTGAAGTGCAATAGCACTTGACAGAATAAGAAACTGCAAACCTCCTTTCACTTTTCAGGTAAAGAAACGTTTGTTTTTCAACTTTTTGCAATTTACAAATTTTATAAATCGAGATAACATAAAGTTTTACCTCTTTTTCCATGTTGAATTTCTCTCTCGATTTTTACCTGTAGCACGTTGGTCTCGCTGAATTCTCGCGAGGAAAGCTGTTCGGACGTTTACGGATTTTGTTCATATTTTATTACGTTTATCTCCGAATTCTTCCGATTTATGCTAATGAGGTTAGGAGGTGTGAATACGTCGTCGATTTATCTGAATGTCGAGTTGAAGGCCTCAGCAAGTGTTTTCTTTTCACGCATAAAAATTTGCATAAATTCTGCTTCATGTGAAAATAGAAATAGGTCTGCTGATAAGGAACATTTTAAGAAGATTAATTTGCATTCATAAAAACTAATCAATTGATGTTATAATTGTTTTATGAGCAACAGGCTAATACAGAGAATCTCTGTCCCTCGCTTATGGAAAAAAGGAGCATGTGGGATTTTATAGGGTTGGTGAGTTGAAGGGACGAGACACTTCCGAAGGGGGGCATAGGGAATTATAATATATAATTCCATTGCAAAAGCTTCTTAAGATACCGCTCGGAAATGCAAGTCTTACACACTGCAGAATGTTAAAATTTATTACATTGATAGGGCGTCTTCCTCAGGACATATAGAGTTGTGATATAATATTTATTAAAAAGTGTGATTAAAAAGTTCGCGAACTAATTGAATAACTTCCGAAAAAGAAATGATGTAGGGTTTCAGTGTTGAGAATGTTTCAAAGTAGCCTTCTCCTATTTTAATGCGCATCTAAACCCATTCTGCCCATGTGCGGATCACGTGATATAGGCGGTCATGTGACAAACTCCTTAGCGTTCTGTTACAGAAGCTTAATTTTTTCCGACTCTTATATTTCTTACCACGCAAGTTATTTTTTGCAACAAAAACAGTTCATTTGTCAGAAATGGCCTTCTCTCGGCAATAGTATGGGTGGATAATGATATCCTTCTGCAGAATAAACATGGTGACCATAAAAATCCAAGTCCTCTGTCTTTTGAGCGTAATTTATTTCATGTGGATAAAGTATGGGTATCTTTACTTTACCATTCCTGATATTTTAAAGTCAAAAGTAAACGATATTTTAGGGATTTGATAATTATGTAATTTTAAAGACATTCATTTATTTTTCTAGCTGTAAGTTGTGAATCTTTCATATCAAATTGCTTCACAAAATGACACGTCTCTCTCCCAGATTGCTTTCACTGGGCAACAGAACAAACATCGTATTTAAACATCTCCCTTCCTTCACTTAAACAATCAATCCAATTAATGACAAAACTTCTGGCAAGTCCTTTGTCTTCAGAAGCCTTGTACAAATTATTATAAGGGATTTCCAAGATATACATTTAACTTTACAGCCGTTCGATTCTCGAATACGACTGATTCAACCATATTTTGTCACAAGTGATCTATCTTATGACGTCATTTTCACCTTGTGACGTCACAAACACGAGGAAAAATGTTCCTTTACATATGCTATTTATAGAAAATGTGTATGCCTTTATGTGTGCCAAAGAACGAGTGCACTTATGGGCCTCGGTAAAATGTGAAAAAATAAATAATCAAATTAAGCAAAATTTTTCATCTCAAATCATTACTTGATATCTAAACCATACGATTCAACAAATTTTACCGCTGAAATCCACGAATATACAAAGAACAAAACTATACAATGTGGTACCGCCAAAAGTCTATGTATCTTGCTTTTATTCTTATTCTGCCTACTTCTTTATGCTTTGTTATTATTGTAATTATACGTCACTTTATTGTTTTCATATTCGTCTTCATTGCATTTCACTTTTACTTTTATCCTTCTTCATTTTGCCCTTACTTCTATGTTGCTTTATTCTTGTTAATTCATTTTACTTTCTTTTAAATTGACACAGTTTCTTAAATGATTATCTCAATTACGAACGTGAATTCAATCACACAAAGAATGAAGCATATTCAATGAAGACGAATACAAGTTGTCAAAATTTAGTGCCGCATTATAACGCTAGGTGGCAGAGGTGTTCGCTACGAGTGATGGTAAAACTAGGTAAGCAAACCCGGACCAAGGTTATTAAAGATTTTTCAATTTTCTGCCTTAATACTTTATCAATCGAACATCTGAAGACCGAGTCCGATCACCCGATCCAATGATGGAAACTCCATATTTATTTCCTCTGGGCACACAGGAATAGCGGCCTCTTTTTTTTAAACATAACTTTATATACCGGTACTTTACTGAATATGCTCATTGAAAGGCCGACCCACTTTTTGTAAGGGTAAGGGTCAAATAAGGTTAATATAGTATAGTAGGGATAACATTTAAATTTGATACTATAGAAGAAGTTGAATCTAACCCAAAACCCACCTGCCCCCTTAATATGATTTCATTGGCATCGGAAGCAAAGTGAAAGTTGGGGCTGGGGGGGGGGGGGTTAAGCGGAAGAAATATTTATTAGCCCTTCAAAAAAAACTTGACAAGCAAAAAAAAAAAAGAGAGAAATGTCCACTGTCCAAACACAAAAATCCTATATCGTGTGTGTGTGGTGGTGGTGATGGGGGGGGGGGGGGTCAAATTTCAGTGCCAATTTCTTTTTTTCAAAACACCACCACTTTCCACATTTAAAACCTATGCTGCATCGAGTCCATGGAAAGTGGGGGGGGGGGGGGGGGATAAACCTACGCAGTAATGTTCAATGTCTATACTAAGTCTAACTTTGGGGAAAAGTGGGGGCTAAACCCCCCTTTCTCTGCGGTTCCGATCGACGCCTATGTATTTTCAAGTTTGGACAATTTCCTTGGTTTTTTGTTTTTTGTTTGTTTTTTTTTTTTTGTTTTGTTTTGTTTTTTTTTTTTTTTTTTTGCTTGTCAAGTTGTTTTCAGCGGATGGCTTGAATTTTCAAAAACGATGCTACGTCACTGTTCTCTCGCCTGAAAAAATATCACTCCACTAAAGTTATTTGTTGGATAATTGAATTCCCGCTTTACAGTTTAATTGACATAAAAACGTTAAATATTTTGATACCAGATGTCCCTTTATAAATTTATAAATTGAGTTGTTTTTCAGGACATTCACAGGCGTGGATCTAGGAATTGAAGTTAGAGGGGCGCCAAAAGAAGGCAAGGGGTCTGGAGGCCGCCTTGAGGCTCCCAGTAGGTCAAGGGCAAAGTCCTGGTGGGGGCTCAGGGGGCGAACCCCCGGAAGCCCCTGGGTTCTAGAGATTTTGTAGGGTAAAAATGAGGTCTACCAAGTAGGCATATTTACATTTTCTAGACGAAACTGTGATTTATGTTAACTTTGACAATTTTAGGGGGGCGGGGGGCGCCGGATGCGCCCCCTCCTTAAATCCGTCACCGGTTCCACTGAAGTTAACGTTATTTCACAACAAATAGTAATTGCTCCTGCGTGTGATTCTAGGGACGGGGCTTTGCAAAGGAGTGAGGAGTGTTATTGGTAGGCAAAGTTGGAACCAGGCTACACCCCAGGCATACTAGAAACTCCCCAGTCTTTTTTTCATGCATTAATATTTTATATTGAAATAGCACTTTTTAATAAAGAAAAGAAATATCTTTTAGTACACACCGTATTATACATCAGCCAGGACTCAGGAGAGTTAAAAAAATCTTAAAACTTGAAAATTCTATATTTGATGGTGGTGGTGGTGGTGGTGGTGGGGGGGGGGTCGTCAACTTTTTTTCAGTACCAAATATAACTCATATGTACATATGCCACTAAGTACATGACTACTTTAATATATGAATTGACTACATTGTATTAGCATGTGATTAGTACTGCAACAAAAAGTGTAAAGGATGGAGGCAACAAGCCTTTCGCTGAACTTTTCCAGTAGTAAAAAGTATGTTACGTTTAGGAAAATGTTTCGTGGCATCCTCCCCTCTACCGGTGAAACTTACCCCATAGGATGTCGTACAGACGGAAGTCAGTGTATATATACATGTATATATATTGAGACTTGGGGGTATGATTGTATAACGTCCCTTTAAATTGGAGAATTTTTAACTCAAATGGAGAAGCCACCTCTTGCCGGTGGATAGCTGCAAAGAAGAAGGAATGGTTTTAGCTTTATTGCGCCCTAAAAATGTAATGACATCAAAAAGTTTTGAAACTGGTTTCAATATTAGCTAAATAAATGACTCTGATAAATCAGGAAAGAATATGGCATGAAGGTTTACCATTCTGCAAATATGACATCATTAATGTGAAGTATTTTTCTAGCATTTATCGGGCCAGCACCTACTGCGATACGGGACCTCGAATAATACGCTCTAGATCTCATCCGAAGGACCGAACTCCACGTCCCATAGTGGGATTCGAACCCACGACGTATTGATTGACTCCTTACTACTGTGTTTCGTGACCCTAGAGCAGACGCCGTAACCACAGTGCCACGCGGGCGAATGCACCCGAGTGGAGGGGCATCCGGGGGGGGGGGGCGGGATTCATTATCCATTTGTACTCGTGAAGATTATCTATGTTAAATTAAATGGTTAAAATGATTTAATTATTAACCACTATTAAATGGTTTCATTTAAACATTTATTCATGTAGGACGTATAACTTTCCTTAAAAAACTGAAAACGTTAGCATATAACCATTGTTTTACGATTTAAAAAAATATTCGGGGGAGGGGTTGCTATGAAGGGGGACGAATTGCTATATACAGCTAGATTCCCCACGGAAGACTAGCTATATATTGAAACTTCCCCGGAGGAAGTCTCACTGCATAGTCTTCCGAAGGAAGCATCACTATGTAGTCAGTTTTCCAGGGGAAATTAATCTTACCATTTTCCGAGGGAATGGCATTATCGGGTACATACCTGAACTTATAACAAACATCATTTGAAAATTTAAGTTCGATTGATAAAGTAATAAGGCAGAAAATTGAAAAATCTTTAATAACCCCGGTCCGGGTTTGCTAACCTATTTTTACCAACACTCGTATAGCGAACACCCTGCCACCTAGCGTTATAATGCGGCACTAAATTCGGACAACTTACATTCGTCTTCATTGAATTTAGTGCCGCATTATAACGCTAGGCGGCATTGTTTACATGATTGAATTTACGTTCGTAATCGAGATAATCAAGATAGTTTATTTAAAAAACAGTATCAAATTAAAAGAAAGTAGAATGTATTCACAAGAATAAAGCAACATAGAAGTAAGGACAATATAAAGAACGATAAAAGCTCAATTGTAATGTAATAAAGACGAATACGAAAACAATAAAGTGACATATAATTACAATAATAACAAAGCATAAAGAAGTAGGCAGAATAAGAATAAAAGCAAGATACATAGACTTTTGGCGGTAATTCCCTTCCATATGGTAGGGGTCAGCCGACATTTTTGATTTTCTATAGTAAATTGAAAACGGTCATTCATTTCAAAGCTTATGTTAACTATGTTGTGCAAACTTGTGCGAATGACAAAAGACGCATAATACATTTATAAAACTTGTGTGAAAGTATGAAATTTGCACACGATTAGGCTCGTACTTAAAATATTAAAAATGTGTAAAAAGTACAATGTTTTTCCTACAGCAAGTGAGAGCTGTTTACCTGTATGACCCATGTTGAACCCACGTGTGGAATAAATTATTAAAATACTGATAGTCACGTGAGTTCTACCCAGGTAAACATTCCTCGAAAGTGCTCACTGTAAAACATAGGCAGCTAGGTTTTGTTTCAGTAAGTCAAAGTCGTGCCGCTTAGAGATGTTTGTATGTTTTTGTTTTTTAGAACACGGGAGGGTAAAAAGAGCTTAGTGTTGTTCATAAATTAAAGTGTCAAACATTTTTAACCGTCATGCAAGACGAAACAGGTATAGAAAGCCTCCTATAATACACCTTTTTAATTTCAAATTCAATGAAACTATTATTGTAATTTTTCAAATGCAAGAGTACCAATTTCTTAGTTTAATCATTTTAACTACAGACAACTACACAACTTCATCCAATATTTTTAAAAACAGGTTTGGCGCAAGAAATATATTCCGCAAATGCGCCCGACTATGATCCACTATCAGATTGTTCAAGTATCGATTTAAATATCTATTGGCCTTGATTTACATAAACGAAACTAAAAGAAGGTTTGGTACGACTTTTCCGGATTTACAGGGTATCCATAGGCATTTAAAAATATTCAATTGTTTCAAATCCATGCTGATTTAAATGGTGCTTAACATGTTTTTTAATTAGAAATATCCACTAGTATCTAAGTATTACCAATAAAGAACGATTTGGTAATATATTCGGAAGTAAAATGGCACAGAAAAAGGGCCCATTAAGTATTGCTTACGTGCACTTTTCCTTTCATTCTGTTCTATAGAGATGATTCGCGAACTTTTTGATCACCCCTTGTAATTGCAAAAGTCCAATGGCTTCTCAAGATATCGTGCGAAAACAAAAGTGTGAAAGACAAACGGACAGGTCAAAAGTAACACCTGTTAATTTTAACGAAAGTGGAGGACAATTAACATGATTAAGGAATATTCTTAATGCAACAAAAGCTCAAATCATCTGCATTCCATTGTTATCGATACAAACAAACAAATACCCCTCTTGTGTAAAATGGTATGTTCAGCCTAATCACGACATGGTGATCTATATCTATTTCTCTAAAGAGAAAACTATTAAAACGTATTTTAGACCTTTTAGTACTACAGAAATAAAGGTCTTGTTGTCGTGAATGGTACAGCATAACTCCTCGGTCTCGAAATGATGTTTATTGTTTTCAATAAAAAATCGTTTGTTCAATTAAATTCATACATTTTTTATTTAAGGAATAACTGTCTTATTTTTCGAATTCATGAAGTGATCAATGGATTGGCTTGTGTGATAATTTGCATAAACGCCGAAGGCGTGTATGCATAAAATTATCACACAAGCCAATCCATTGATCATCTTCATAAATTCGAAAAATCTGACAGTTTTTCCTTATATTTACATGCTTTGATTCCGCCAATCCACGGGCTCAAAGCCTGCTTCTCTCTAGGTGTTGTCCCGCCCTGCACGTGGTTTTCTTTTGGAACCGCGCCAAAACATTCATGAGGAAATAAATTACATTTACAATTGGTAATTTTATCTCGGACAGACATTGGAAATGTAAATATTACCATATATTCCATATTCACTTTCTAAAAAAACTTTAAAAAGCTAAAATGTATACCAAGTCAAGAACTGAAGCCCATTTTTGTTTGTTTTTGCGATTACAATTTGTAATTTTAATCGACTAATCCTTTATAACTGGAATTCTATTCATGTTTAATTACTCATTCAATTGTTTAAAGTTATAATTCTGCAAAATGGGTATATGAATACTGAGTAGAGCTGAATGCTATAAAAGTATTCAAATATAGCTTACTCTTTTGAAAAGAAACCTAGTTACAAATAACCATACGTTTAGATATGAAAAAGGTCATATTTTGTGAAACATGTGTATCATAAAATTTCATTACTTTTGCAATTTTTCACATCGTTTAAGATCATCCTTTCTATTTCTTGATTCTAACTGGATCATTTTCTCCAACATTTATCCCTTTTTCTTTGTCTTCTAAGTTTCTTCCGCAATTACATGGATAGAAGGAGAAAAAAATGGTGTTAAAGTTTCCCTTCCCCTATTTTTGCTTTTTTCCCTTTTTAGTTTTATTCTGTAATCTCTCTCCGGCCAGGTTTCCTTCCTCCTTCGTTTCAGTTTTCTTCCACATTAAGACCAGGAAACCGGAATTAAAGCCATACCGTTTTATTAACTATACCGCATACTAATATAGAAAGCACAAAGAAATTTACTTTTATAAGGATACCCCATTTTCACAGAACCCAGGGTTGAACTCTCGATCTATAGAATCACAGTCTCATAGCAGTACAGGAACAGCGCGATAGACCGCTCGGCTATCTAGGCATGTCAAAAAACTTGTTATCGATACCGATGGAATTCTCGCTGACCTTACACTAAAATGTCTTCGAGAATCGTGAGATATGAGATAGTGATAGTGAAAATGAGTTAGAGAATTTGGACTTTAATTTTATTAAATGATCGTTGCTAAAACACGTTGTAATGATAATTATTTTTTCTTTCTTTAAAGCATATTTTACCACAACTACCCAGCGGAAATGACATGGGTATCCCTATAAAAGTAAATTTCTTTGTGCTTTCTATATTTGTGTATAGTAATAACAGCGGTATATTTTTTATTTAATTTTTTTTGTAAATGTAATGCAACCTCCCAGTGGATGTTGGCATTCATATAAAAGCGAATTTCTCTGTGTTTCATAAAATATTATACAGTCATTCTGATTGACTGGGTTTGGGGGAAACGCATATGATTTTTTGGACCTAAAGGTGAAAATCTTGCCCGAGGCGGCAGGCCTATATATCTCAAATTTTCAGATTAATAAAAAAAAATATACAGAGACATATAAGAGAATGTCTATGAAATATATAAGAACATCCCTCTTTCCGCACGCTTCTACAGAATTTCATTATAGACTATAGACATGATAAAGTGTTTTAAATATTTACTATACTATTTACTGATAATATTCACTATACAATATTTTTTTAGTAAAACGATACTATAACGATACTTTGAATCTTTGAAAATTAGCAGTTTTTTTCCTGAAGACCACCATATTCTGTGGGCACAAAGATAAAATGAAAATTAATGCATCAACTTGTACAAAAAAAATTAATTGATGACGCAGTGTTCAGCCCTCAGTTGGTTGGGCTAAGCGGCCGTGTATTGAAAGTTCACACAATTAAGAGTACTTCTTACCTGGACATCTAGCAGAAGATTTAGAGATGTTTACATAACTGTAATGAGTACTTAGTCCTCTACTCAAACATTGAATGTTACAGTCCCCATGCATATGACCTCAATAATTTAAAAACATTTTACTAATTTGAAATTCTCTTTATTCCTTGAACATATATCAGACAGACCATTAGTTTCTAAGATAACAATTGAGTATTGAACCTAAACTTCATAAAGTTTGTACCTTGCTTGATTTATTTGTTGTTATTTTGTATAAAAATATTCTTAAATTAATTATTTTCTCGAACTGTAAGTCATCTTTATTTTAAAACATGTTAATAAGTCCTACCTATCTGAAAGTAAACCTCTTTTGTTTTTGAAATATTTTAAAAACAGGATGTCATATAATACTAGTATAGTCTCAAATCTCACGCTTTACCTACACGCCTAATGCATGTTTCAAATGTTTGACCTAGTCTAAAGATCAAGAGTCGCTTTCCAATATTTTGTTTTACAAGTAGCCCTAGTTTAATTATTATGTAATAATTTGATAAATAAAGTTTAAGAAAAACTTTTTGTAAGTAGATAAGTGGCTTGTACTTTGGACTTGTAGATAATTAACAGATTCTGGATTTATGACGTCATTGTCATTATTTGAAATCAGTATAAATAAGTCCCAAAGAACATTCCTCTTTATCTTCGAAGTCAGAGACATCATCAAAATCATGGTAATAGCTTTTTTATTTACGTTTTTATGCACTGTTTTATAAATTTAAATAAGCCTATTTGAAATATATGCAATTCTTAATTGTATTGAACTACAATTTTGATAATATTTTGATAATATATCTAGGTACATATAATTCCTTTTGTTGTTTTCTGTGCCAGTTGGATAACATTAAATGTTTGAATTAGTCATATTGTTCTTAAACGTACATATTGATATGATTTAATATTGTTTAACGCCAAGTCGGCAAATTTTCAGCCATGTTACCGTGGAGTCAAACTGATAAATCTTTATAAAAAAAAATTATGATAGTTATTTTAATGCTTCATTTCAAAATTTCTTTTTGTCGTTTATATATTGATATTATTATTTCTTTTACTTTTATATTCTAAATTAGATCAAGTTCCGGTACCTCTTTGTTCTCCTCCTGATTTGTCTCATAACAATTGACCATACAGAATCAAGTGCCAGAGGAGGCAGACGAGGCAGACCACGCAGACCAGACAGACGAAGACCAAACACACCACGCCCGCCTCAGCGGCCCCGACCAACACTGAGACCACGATTAACAGTGAGACCTGGATCAATTGAGAGACTTAGAGTTATCTTAAATCAGGCAAAAAGAGCGGGAAATGTAGGAGCCAATGCTATCACACTCATAGATATGGGATTAACAGTGCTTGATGTTATTGAAAGATTTGAAGGGACTTCGAAGAGGTCAACAGAGAACGTATGTCTGAATTATTTTAATATTAATCTTTCGAAATTAAATACATTGTTCATATGGAAAATGCATCACAAAAATGGCAACGTTTGATGATTTTGATGCACTGGAGAGTAGTAAAGTTTGTGCAGATCACATACTTTACAGACTTTTGATGGTTAAAGATTAAAATTATATATATATATATATATATATATATATATATATATATATATAAGCACAATGAAATTCACTTTTACATGGATACCCACTTCCGCCCCAGCCCGGGGTTGAACTCTCGACCTTCGGAATCTGTCTCCTAGCAGTGCAGGAACAGCGCGCTAGACCGCTCGGCTATCTAGGCAAGTCAAAAACTTGCTTTCGATGCCGATAGAATTCTCGCAGCGCTGCCCTACACTACACGGTCAATGAGAATAGAAGTGAGATACAGTTATTTGGACATTAGTTTTTAACAGAGGATTGTTACCAATACACCAATATCTAGATAGCTGAGCGGTCTAGCGCGCTGTTCCTGCACTGCTAGGAGACAGATTCCGTAGGTCGAGAGTTCAACCCCGGGCTGGGGCGGAAGTGGGTATCCATGTAAAAGTGAATTTCTTTGTGCTTTCTGTATTAATATTTCTTCACTTAGGGCAGTTATGTTAGTTTAAGAGTTGTTGTAAAATGTGCTTTATATATATATATATATATATATATATATATATATATATATATATATATATATATATATATATATATATATATATATATATATATATATATATATATATATATTTATTTAAACATGTCATAATTCATTATTATTTTTTTATTTTGTTAATTAAACTATTCCGAAAAAGAGAAAGATTTCACTTTCAGGATTTCTTAAAGGTACTTGGACAACTACGGTGAAATAAATCAAAAAATGAAGGAGCAAGGAATGCAAGGGTTGTTATATTGTTTATGAATATTTTTTTTTCTAAAGGTAGTTCCTGGAATAGATATTTGTAACTTCAACTTGCTTGATTTGAATGATGACAACAGCGTTACCAAAGAAGAACTGGATATTCTGATTCAAAGCACAGGGCGAGTGGAATTGGAAGAACTCTACGAGAAGCTAGACCAGGATAATGGTGGGTTCCATTAACAAAGTTTTCTTTATTTAAATCGAATGCTCGTACTTTTTATTATTAAATATTAAGGACAGACGACATGTTCCTCGAAAACATATATTTTTTTCCAAGAATTCGTCACTGAACTATAGCTACTTAAACAAGTTTTCTCACAAAAAATTGAGGTACCTTACCAGGCATTTAGGTGAGATATCAGCGGTTGTAATTTTTTATATTATACTTTCATGAAAATTAGTTGAATCTGATTGGTCGAGAAACATTTGTTAAAAAACACTATTACCCGCTGGATAATGAAGCCACACCCTCCAGCGTAGCAACAGTCAACAGTGCTTGATGACGGGTGATAATAATAGCGACCAAAAAATGGCGACTGTGCAGAATTTATGCGCTCACGGTTCACTGTTATATGTATTTGTATAAAATATTCAGTATAATATAATAAATATTGCATGTAATTGAGTGTAACATTGAAAGTTATTACTCCTCGAAAACCATTGTCAACCTCGGCTGCGGCTCGGTTGACAATGGTTTTCTTGGGGTGAACATTTTTAATGTTATACTCAACTACATGCAATATTTATATAAAATAATCCTTACGGGCAATCTTTTGAATTGGCAATGTTATAATTTTTGGTGAATTTATATCTTAACCAAATTGAAAACAATTTAGAAATCACAAGATAAGGACGATATAAATTTTTATTATATAATACCCAGGGTTTACAAAACATATAAATGAGGAATTTTATTTATTTCATTTAAATTTTTCTATTGTTATTATCATTTTGTAGACCATATAGTTGTACATTGTATGTCTTACGTTTTACCAAAATTTAGCAAGGCTCGAAATTGCTTTTGTTTTAAAAGTAATAATGAGAGTTTGAAAAAATTAGTTTATGTCACTGTGAACGTAGATTCATAATAAATGTAATTCCTCGAATTATGCATGTAACTTTGTCCACCAATAATTTTAAAGACATATATATGATTGATTTTTTAAAGGTATCTGTCTAACCAATACTTTTGAAACTTTATATAACTAAAGGATTGCTTATTTATTGTGTTTGAAAAAGAATGGCATCGGATAATTAAAGATTGTAATTTTCGCTGTAAAAAACAAATGATTATTTTATTTTCGCGTCAAGAATAGCAGGTTTGGCTTATTTCGATTTGGCATACTGCTTACATAAGCACACTTACATTTTTCTGACATTTAAAGAATTATTTGAGAAAAAGGCATCAATAAGTTTCTTTTCAATGATTTGAAAAATATAGGTCCACATCCCTAGAAAACAAATCGATTCAAAAGTGGTTAACAATTTATTGAATTTCAAAAAAAATTAAGAACCATTAAAATAATAATATAAAAAATCATGAAGGATTCCTGTTTTATTTTCAGTTTATATATTTTTATTCATTGTATTTTAGAAAAAGAAAGAGCTACCGTTGGGAAACAAAATTATGCATGGGAAAATCATTTATAAGGTTTAAAAAATGACTATAATCACATATAAGGAAACGAAGGCGATTTCTTTCGCAACTATGAAACATGAAATGACTCTTTATTTTTTTCAATTTTATTTTTTTTTCACAGACGGTATAGTAACACAGGAGGAGTACATGAAGTTGTATGAAGATGTCTGCAGTGGGGATTTGGAAGGTCAGTTTATCTCGTTTGCACAATCTCTTACCTTTTGATGTTTTTTTTTTAATTTAATTTTAAATAAGAAATAATTTTAAATTTTGATCAGAAACATCATAACATTTCATTGGTTATATACTTCATTAATTTTATCCCCAATGAAAAGAGGAGGGGGCATTTCTTTGGACCTGTCGACCGGTCGGTCTTTTGGTCACTATACTAGTGCCCAGTATTTTCTTTGCTGTAAGATAATTTCTTCTTTTCTAGATTACAAAGTAAAAGATAATTGGTCAAATAATACAGTATTTTGACATGTGATGTAACTAAGCTCAAACAGTATTTTATACCATTTGCATTATATACTAGCTACTACATGTAGTACTTCAAATGTTATACCTTCCATGAAGAAAATTATCATTAATAACATTGAAGTCCGAATGAGATAAAACATTATTTGCGTCATGTTTGTCCCGAATTTAAGATGACCACTTGATATTTACATCTCATATTGCAAAGCCAGAAGCATATAAGTTAGTTTCTCATTTTTTTTTATATTTAAGGAGCAAATACCCTACAAAAGGACGAATAAGAAATCAAGGAAGAAGATCAGCTGAAGGACACAAATAAGAAAATTATTGGAAGATTTTCAAAGTTTAAGTTTTTGCTTAAATGAAATATATTCTCCAGAATAGATTAAGAACATACTGCCTAGTTTGTATATCTTTCATAAAGCAATAACCATATACATGTACATCCCGTCATTCCTTTAGAATTATGCCTGTATGGACCTTTAGGGCCAATGAAAATAGTTATAGATTACTGTACATAACCATAAGAATATTTCATACCATATACTCCCATTTCATTTTCTTCATTTGTATGTCACCTGAGTCGCTTATAACAGAAATAACCGATTGTTTTCTGTTTGGATATTTCGTCGTTCGTCGGTCTTAAATGTTTTGAATATATTTTCAAATTATATGCCGGTTGGTCAAAATCCACTTACTTATGTAAACAGCATCTAAGGATTTTCTATTCTCTGTCATTATGGGGATGAGAAAATGGCCAAAACTATCAATATTTTCCATAACCTTTGGACATCTAGAGGAATATCTAGAAAATTTTGCTTGGTTGTAAAATCTTGACGAACTGCAAAAGCGCCCAATGACATATACTGTGTAACCTTAGGACTAAGTATTGGAAATACAATACATTTTGAAACTCTTCTTCTTTCTTCATAAACATGTCTCAGACAGACAGTCTTCAAGATGGCAATGTCTACTTTACCAATCACCAAATTCTGACAAAAATCTTCTTTATTCCCAGACTTTAAGGAAACAATCTTCATTCACGTGGTAATGAATACAGAGTCCTCACATTTAGTCACATTTTTAAGACTAGAGCAGTAATCTGAGTAACCCAGGTGACTGTTAAGGCTCATAGGCCTCTCTATATATACATGTTAACTGAAAAATAAAAGTTGTTATACAAAAAAATCTTTTTTGTTATTAATTGCCTTTAGCAGAAGTTGATAAACATACTTTTCGTATACATACGTTAAAAATTTGGTGGTATTTAAATATAATGAGTGTTTCTAAAGATGAAAACGCACGGCAAAACTGGAAAATCCTAAGCTATTTCCTGCGGGGGGAGGGGGGGGGGTGTTACAGGCCACTTTTTTCTAATGCCAAATTTCTTCCGTACCATTTTTTTCTCCCTTACAATACTACATATCCATTATATCACTTTACTATAGTAAAAGCGCGGGGGGACCAGCCTTTCAATTAACATTTTATTTTCAATAGTAAAAGTAATGTTGGGGGGAAAAGGGGGGCAACAAGAATGTTCATATACATGCATGTACAAATTTTCAGTTGAGGTGAAACTTTTTTTTATCTACGATCAATTTCTTAATGTAGGAGGGCTACTGATAAAGTTGATGGTATGATCTGGTTAAAAGTCAACATGTCGGAAATTCTATTTCGGTAAAATAACGAGATGCACGGGACATCTTATCCCTTTTACACATCATTAGCTACCGGTAATTAATAAACTCTGTAACAAGTAAGAAATAAATCAAGATATGTTTGTCAAACACTAGACTGGGATGTAAACTGAAGGGGTATTATACACTTTCCCTTGACGGCGCAATAGTTATCATAATGGGCTAAGTTTAAAATGACAACAAACAGACAAACAGACAAACAGGACAAAAACAATATACCCCGGGGATATTTCGATCCTGGGGCATAATATTTGCTGGACGATCCTCTGTTGACCGGTGACACTCGTCGTGAGCACTGTTAATTGATCAGGTAGACGAAATATAAGTCTATATTGGTATGAAACGAGTCAGCCAACATACCACACAATGATAAGTTATATTTGATAACAACGTCATTACAATGACCATCGAATTCTAAAAAAGAGATAGCGGGATGCTCACTCCTCCATTGTATCTGATCCCACCTCCGATGTTTTAAAGATCCGGTTTTGCTCTTCTCTTATTTTATAATTTTCATAGAAATTCCTGTAACATCAAGTTATCTGTCAGTAGTTTCTCTCTATGTTCTCTAAAGATCGTACTCGGAGCATGCTCTCAAATTTTAAATTAGTTGGGAGATGTAAATACCATATGCATGTCAAAGGCGCTTGGGTCAAGGATACTGCGTGTATATTTTCTATATAATGTATTGTCGAGGAAAATATACTATGCTCGTAACATTTTTTTTCAGTGTGCAGTGTTAATTTTTAGTTTTTCGTAAACCTTTCTGCTTCATATACACTATAATGTCATGGAAATTTGAATTTTATGCACGCTTTAAAAAATGACATATCCCACTGAATCCTAAAAACAAACAAAGCTTGCAACTAATTAGTCGCCCCTATAGAAAATTATGCGGTATTTAAATGTATGTAGAAAATCTACAGTATCCTTGACCCAAGCGCCTATGATGCATGTTACGGCAAGATATTACTTCATATAATATATATAAGGGATGTTGATGATGGAAAAGTAGAAGTCATCTCGTTTGTCATACATTTAGTAATGAGTCAGTCTTTGTCATCTTTAGTAAGTAAAACATCCAGCTATTAAATAGATGCTGCACATTTTGGGGTACTTTTGATGCAAGTTTACTAGAATACATCAAATAGACATTGTATATTAATTGCTAATGCATCTTAGATGTATCTAAATGTCCAGCTGAATCCATTGCAAGTGTTTCCCCTTCTCATGTAGAGGTTAATGTATAAATTCTACTTCATAGGATTATTTAATTAAACAGATAAGCTAAAAAGGAGCACAATATGTGTTTTCGGAATGCCAACAGTTTGATGAAAACGTGTGTATTTTTTGCAGTGTCTGTCGTTGGCAAAGAGGAACAAGCGACAACGCTGCATATGAGATCGGTTTAATCATATGGACCCACCCGCACAAAAATTTATATTCACCTAACCTACATTTTCCAAACCACGCGAAAATGATGGCATTTTCTTCTAGATGAATATTGGGTTTTATTTGTGTTATTGGTGCATTTTGAATTCAATATCAACATACATGTACACATACGAGATATGTTTCAAAGCATTTTAGATTTAGGTCTAGACTATCAAAAATTTCAATCAAAAGATTTTTTTTCATTTTAATACCTTAAAAAAAAACTAACTAAAAAACTATAAAGGACATGCATGACCTGTTTTTGCAAGCTTATTTTCATACGACCTGTTTCAGATTTGCATAAATTCAATAGCCAAAATTAAACATACAGAAATACGGTCTCATATTCTATTTAGTTATTCACCAAAATACATATCATAGTTAGATTAAACTTAAGAAAATAAAAAAATATTCATTTGCTTTGAGAATTTTTGAAGGTTTTTATGGAATTCCATATACGACAGCCAACTGCTTACTGCCACTGACTGCTTACTGCCAACTGTCAGCTGCTTACTGCCAACTGCCTTACATATTTGAATAAATTTTATTTTTATATTGATATTTATGTGACTTTTTAAAAAAAAAAAAAAAAAAAAAAGGCGCGGATCTAGGGCATGTTTTCCAAGAGGGTCACTCTGGTAAAAACAAATCCAACCTAGAAATTTCTTGACGAGAAAAAAAACGTTAAGTCCTTCCCTAAATGTGAAAATTTATTTCGGTCGGGGAGAGCGGTTTCTTATGCGTCATACCCTCATGTCTATGACATTTTGTATACCAACTTAACACGAATCCGCGTTTTCGGGGGGCGGGGGAGGGGGGGGGGGGTTCTAAGGTCCCTTTTAGTTGATTTTTTTAATACATGCAATGAATAACTTTTAGTTAGTTTAGTTTGTGCATTAAATAACTTAACAAATTTCAGAGGAGTGGTCCGGACTCCTCTCTCTAGATTTATGCATGTAAAACATAAAACATATCTCATTTGTAAATTAAACAAAGAGATATAAATGTTTGATCGGCGTTTTCTTGGAGGGTCCAAGGTCAGTTTTAGTTTCTTTAGTTCATACATTAGCCCATGACTGTACAAATTTTAAATGCCCCCCCCCCCTAAAAAAAATCTATGCATGTGAAACATTATTACACACAGAGATATATACCTTTAATTTGAGGAAATTTTTTAACTATATAGAATATAATGGAAAAATGTTAATTCATTTTCAAAATATCTTTCTATGCGAAACGACAGATCTTTTTTCTTTTATTTTTCTCTCTTCAGAAGTTTTTGTTGTCTCCGGGGTTGGGGGGGGGGTTATTACCTATTTCAAATAGGAAAACAAATAAATAAAATAAACAATGTACTTTATCAATCGCATATATTGAATATAACATAAGATAAAAAAAATATTGGTCATTTAATCTATTTAATTTTACCAGGGTGACCCTCTTGGAAAAAAATGTCCTGGATCCTCGCCAGTTTTTCCTTCTTCTCTTTTTTGTGAAAATTCACATAAATATCAATATAAAAATAAAATTTATTCAAGTTTGTGTGGCAGTTGGCAGTAAGTAGTTGGCTGTCGTATACATGTATGGAATTCCATAGGTTTTCACTGGAAAACATGAAAGAAATTTATGTTAAATCTGCCCCCGTCCTTTAGAAATTTTTTTTAATACCTTTAACCCTGTAAACCTTGAGTAATTTCCAAATTACAATGCACTATACTGTTTACATTTCATTTTTCCTTTAAAACTATTTGAAGTTACATCTAAGGTTAACAAAAACACATTTTTGTCATGGTCGACCGCATAAATTATACAAAACAATCTTTTGAAGATAATTATATACCACAACTTTGGGATTATCAATTTTTACAATAAGTCTTTGCAAAATTTGTAAGAAAAAATAATTGTAAAGATGTGGAACCATCTAATATGTGTAGTACTTTGTGTAGCGATCTGGTTGGGGCTTATCAAAGATCTAATTTTAATTAGGTCTTAAAATCGATAGGTCTCAAGTCATTTGTATGAAAAATACTATAAAGTGTTGGTCCATACAACCAATAGAGAAGTTTGTGTCAGTTTGTATAAAATGGTATAAAATGACATAAAGATCAAATGGGGCAGGTAGAGTGCAAAGTGTTAACTTCCATTAATGAACATGATGAAATATAACATATGTATATGATAGACTAAATTCTTGTATGCACAATGACATAATCCTACATTGTCAATGATCATCTGAGAAAAAAAGTTACAATAATTTTTAAAAT